GAAATAATTGAGAAAGCTTAAAAGGTTATAAAATCAAACAGCCAGCGACGCCATGAGCATATGGTATAATTTGACTCTGTTCTACTTTCAGGAATTTGTTAAAAAAAAAGAATGGATTAAAAATAATAATACCACTTGATTTTTTACCCAACTGAAAATGCCAGCAATTGCTGGATTCTAATAATAAATATTCATATACCTATAACTCTATTTCTGCAAATGTGTTAAATCTTGTTTTGAAGCTTGTCTTCATAGAATCAGACATTACACAAAATTATTGTAAAGAACATGTACAGACATCATTAAATGCCACCTGGAGTATCTTTGAGATGTCAGAGACTCAGAGTACAGATAGAAGGATTGTAAACGAAAATATATTTGTCTTTGAAAGGTGTATTGAAATAAATTGTGAGTAATGGAATCAGAACATTAATTGACTTTATATTGGTTTTGATTATATAAGTAATTATGATAATTGTATAGCCCAGTCAGAGACATGCCATGATAATTCTTTGTGATAGTGGTACCATTCTCATCTCAGTGGTATATTTATATATTGCTACTTCTGTTTTAACTTTGGATAAATCATCCTTCTTTCTCCTGTATTCAATTACAACAATGTAGTTCACTGACATATTTCCAAATCAAAATGTTTGTAGGCTTAGGAAAATAAATAAAATGAATATCTACATTGTATACCGCAATCCCACTGTACATGCTGTATGAAATTGGTACCTCTCTACATGTGTACAGGTTGTATGAGATTTGTACCACTCAGTGTACATGCTGTATGAGATGCATGAGATAGTTTGAGACTGGTAACACTGTACATGCTGTACAAAATTGGTTCCACTGTACATGCTGCATGAGAATGGTTGTGGTACCATCGTAAATGTTGGATGAGATTTGTACCACTCCCATGTACATGCTGTATGAGATTGGTGTACGTGCTGTGTGAGATTTGTACCACTCAGATTACATATTGTATGAGATGCAGGAGATAATTTTAGATTTGTACCACTATGCATCCTTGATAATTTTAAGACCAATATGCATGCTGTAAGAGATTGGTAATATAGTGTTTGCTTTATTAAATACATGAGATTTGTACCACTGTACATGCTGTATGACATGTACATGTATGAGACAGGTACCACTGTACATGTGTACATGTTGTAAGACATGTACGAGATTGGTACCACTGTACAAACTGTATGACATGTATGAGATTGGAGCCACTGCACAATATGTGTGAGATACCATTGAACATACATGTACATACATACTTTAAATAAAGCTAATACTAACAATGACCACTGCCCTTTCCTCGATCTTGATATCTATATCATTAACGGAAAGCTTAATACTAAAATATATGATAAAAGAGATGATTTTTCATTTCCTATCGTTAATTATCCATTTTTAGATGGTGACGTTCCCTTGTCACCATCTTACGGTGTTTATATATCTCAACTTGTACGATTCGCTCGTGTATGTAACAATGTTTTAGATTTTAACGAGAGAAATGTATGTATTACTGAAAAATTATTACACCAGGGTTTTCGATATCACAAACTAGTCAAAACATTTACTAAATTTTATCATCGGTATAAGGACATCATTCGTAAATATAGCTCAACATGCAGACTTCTTATACGTTCAGGTATTTCACATCCAATTTTTTATGGAAATATTCTTTATAAAGCACAAAAATGTCAGTATTCACCTCTGAAACTAACAAAACCTTTAAATAGACTTATTAAGAAGGGATATAGTTACGACACTGTTGTCAGGTCATTAAAGATTGCATATTTTGGCGTTGATATTGATTCACTTATAGGGTCTTTGCATCTGCACTAAACACATTTATTTAAAAACCAGTTGTTGGCATGACACGGGTTATGTTCTTCTCATATATGTTATGATGGTATGATACTAAACCCCTAACGGGAAGGATTGTGCCTGATATTCATATGATGAAGACATAATCTTTCAATCAGTTTAATTGAAGTCTGGAGCTGGCATGTCAGTTAACTGCTAGTAGTCTGTTGTTATTTATGTATTATTGTCATTTTGTTTATTTTCTTTGGTTACATCTTCTGACATCAGACTCGGACTTCTCTTGAACTGAATTTTAATGTGCGTATTGTTATGCGTTTACTTTTCTACATTGGCTAGAGGTATAGGGGGAGGGTTGAGATCTCATAAACATGTTTAACCCCGCCGCATTTTTGCGCCTGTCCCAAGTCAGGAGCCTCTAGCCTTTGTTAGTCTTGTATTATTTTTAATTTTAGTTTCTTGTGTACAATTTGGAGTTTAGTATGGCGTTCATTATCACTGAACTAGTATATATATTTGTTTAGGGGCCAGCTGAAGGACGCCTCCGGGTGCGGGAATTTCTCGCTGCATTGAAGACCTGTTGGTGGCCTTCTGCTGTTGTCTGTTCTGTGGTCGGGTTGTTGTCTCTTTGACACATTCCCCATTTCCATTCTCAATTTTATTTTTATGTACATGTTCTGTATGACATAAATGAGATTGATACCACTGTACAGGTGTACATGCTGAACGACATGTATGAGATTGGTAACACTGTACATGTGAACATGTTGTAAGAATGTATCAGAATGGTACCACTTTACAAGCTGCATGACATGTATGAGATTGGTACAACTGTACATGTGTACAAGCTGTATGACATGTATGTGATTGGTACAACTGTACATGTGTACAAGCTGTATGATACATGTATGTATGAGATTGGTACCACTGTACAGGCGTACATGCTGAACAACATGTATGAGATTGGTACCACTGTACAGGCGTACATGCTGAACAACATGTATGAGATTGGTAACACTGTACATGTGAACATGTTGTAAGACATGTATCAGAATGGTACCACTTTACAAGCAGCATGACATGTATGAGATTGGTACAACTGTACAACATGTGTGAGATTGGTACCATTGTAATTACTGTATGACATGTACGAGATTGGTAACATTGTACATGTGTACAAGCTGTATGACATGTACCGGTATGTGATTGGTACAACTGTATATATATGTACAAGCTGTATGACATTTTTGGATTGGTACAACTGTACATGTGTTCAAGCTGTATGACAAGTATGAGATTGGTGCCACTGTACAACATGTGAGAGATTGGTACCATTGTAAAATGTAAATACTATACTGTATGACATGTACGAGATTGGCACCACTGTACATGCTGTATCACATACATTTGTGATCATGTACGTTGTATGAGAATTGTACCACTGTACATGCTGTATCACATACATTTGTGATCATGTATGTTGTATGAGAATTGTACCACTGTACATGCTGTATGAGATTGATACAAGTGGCACTGTAAGTTTAATATCAGCTTAGACATGAAGCAGTTTGCATTATAAACATGTACTTTGTAGAAATATATAAAAATAACTGATTTGTTGAAGTATGTTCAGATAATCTCCCATACACTGAATGTCACTTTTCAGAAAATAATAAAATTCTATTTACCTGTGAAAACTAATATTTATTAGTAATCAATTGATAAGATCTAGCTATATTTTTTTTTCTGAAAGAGATTTCAGAAGGACGTGTTGTACATGAATACAGTAATAAAATAAAATTAATAAATATATAGCAAAAAACAAAAAAAATCATTGGACTCTAAAAGAGAAACCTAATCAAAAGAAATTTTTATCTTTTTTGGACAAAATATTTGTTCTAATACCTTTTTGTACTTCTTCATGAATAAAAACATGAAGAAGGGGAGTATTCATTGTTTACTGAATTTTACATGATAGTTTTTGAATAATCCTCTTAATTAGACAAAGTATAGTAAAATTTATCTTCCTGTCCAAATCAAAATATATCTTATACATATAAGAATAGTTGTCTCATTGCATTTTATAATGTGTATCTTTTATTCTGCTAAGCAGTCTATCAAAAAATACAATGTGCATATATAAACTGTGTGTGTATGTATCTTTAAAAATACATTATAATATTAGTGTTGTCAACGGTTAACCGTAGGAAGGACCGAATATTGAATACCAAAAACTCTAACCGTTTAACCGGACCTTTTTCAATTTTAATAGATTTGAATTAAATGTGTATTGAAATCATTAATACACTTTGTTCAATCTTAAAATGATCATCATGGTAATTAATTTGACAGATCAATTGTCCAGTATATTGATTGCTATTGTTAACCTTGAAAACATAAAATTAATTTGCACAAAGACAACTTGTCTATCAGCTCAGGGCAAGATCTTAAGTTAACATAATTACAAAAATGTAGCATACATGTATTTAGAACAGTTGTAGGCCAATTAAATTTTATGATTTACAACATTATTTCATTTTTTATTTAATATTTCGTAGACCTACATCTAAATTAGCCTACCCCATCGTCCAAGACTTTGTAATACTTTAAACGAAATGCCAACTCAAAAATGGTGAAATGCAAATGAACATGAATGGAATAAATGTATACTGGGTGGTACGAGTAACATGCTTAATCGTCTCAAATTGAAACACTCAACATTATTTTCTGAGACATCAGAAAAAATGAAACAATCAACGGTTTCAGACATTGTAAATTTGACGAGATCAAGAAGATTTTCATCTTCTCAATCTGAAGTTATTACAATCATCACAGTAGATACGGTTGTATTTCAAATGAAAAAGTAAAACTTCACCAGGAGTGCTAAAAAAACACCCATAAAAAGGAACTCTGTAGAAAATTGGTCTTCACCTAGATGTGTTCAATTTTCAACCTTTGTTATTATACAATTTAAGCTGTGATACAAGTAAAAGCAGTACAGTTTATACAATAAATTGGAAATTTTAGATTGAGGGACAAAATTTGTTACCTTACAGATGTTTTACCTACCATTTCATAAACCCTCAGATTTCAATATATAGCGACTTGATAAGACTCATGTGATTATGTGTTTATTCACCATACTCAGACATACAACTTACAATATGCTGCCGTTTTCCAATACAATATTTCTTCATCATAGAGTATGCCGCTTTGCTATGTATATGTGGGTCTTTTTGCATAAGTTGGGAGACATCCTGACCACAGTTTTCTTCCAGGTATTTCTTTCCCCCGGGATGTCTGTCAGCAAATTCTGTTACATCATAAACATTATCGGATTCAAAAATGACTATTCGTTCACTTTTAATCCTAGCTTGAATGTGAGATTCGACTATTTCAGCTGTCATCTTCTGATCTCGCAATGCTATAAAGTATGCATTGGTGTGGTTGAGTTATTCCAGTGAGGTCAAGGTAACGTTATCCAACCGGTCTAAAACTTCCGGTCATCTCAAAGCTTCTGAAGAAAATAAATCAAAATCTGACGATGAGAAGATATTCTATAGACATGGAATTATACCAGAAAAAAGAAAATTCAAAGGTGAAGTTTAATTATATTCAGCATCGTAATCACAAAGAAAGGTAAATTTAATCATTTTTAAACAGTAGTCTTTCGTCTGTTTTGAAATACTCCCCAAACAAAGATATCACCTGATACCACAACACAAATAAAATTACTCGTGAACTAGCACGTCTCTGCATAAACAAATCATTAAAAAGGTGAAAAAGTAATGACAATGATTAATCGACACGCATATTATAGACATCGGATGATAATTCATTGCAACATTTTCTTATTAAACCAAGAACATCTACATTTTTCAATATAAAAAGTTTACATTCGTCAATTTAAATTCCGTAAGTGGCCTGTTTTAATATGTGTTGCATACAAATTCTACATATTGAACTGTAAATAAAAAACAGATTTTTTTTACTGACAAACTAAACTAAATATGATTTAATCCTTAGAATATTTCATTTTAACATCTGTATAGAATATACGTTACACATAAAATGTGCCTACATAAAATCAAGGGATTGTATATTTAAATGGAATAAAAAAACGCGGTGGACTTCAAAGATAATTGTATGACACATCTCTGTTTCGGGCGATGTGTTAATTACATCCCGTGACTCTAACTGAGTTATCGAACTTGGCCATTTAGTATGACGCCAGTTTTCAAACTTTACCAGCGGTCACTGGTACATATCAGAGACATATAAAACAATATTATGTATTATATGTCTCTGTACAAATATAGTACTGATATATAAACTAAAAGAGTGATCTACAAATGTATGCCTTCTGAGTGGCTGATTTTCAATCTGGGTATACATAGATATAAGAAGATGTGGTATGAGTGCCAATGAGACAACTCTCCATCCAAGTCAAACTTTATAAAAGTAAATCATTATAGGTCAAAGTACGGTCTTCAACACGGAGCCTTGGCTCACACCGAACAGCAAGCTATAAACACAGTGTAGATACTATTCTGTATGCTATCCGGAAGTCGCGATTTTCGAAGCGAGAACTTTTTGGATCACATTTTAAATTTGATGGATATACTGAATTAAACGGTAAGTTGATCATCTGTACATTGCTTAATGATTAATTCAGCTGACATCGATATTCTCAAATGGTTTAGAATTAAATTCAGCACATTCATTATTCGTATCTTTGCCTTAATCAAGAGATTTTCAAGTGCATCACTAAGGAAAATCAGTCGCCCGGTGAACCTAAAAACAATCTTTTTACCCTCTTAGTGTACAAATTAACGTAAAAACCAGACGTAATTAACTAAATGAATAAAATTGAGAATGGAAACGGGGAATGTGTCAAAGAGACAACAACCCGACCATAGAACAGACAACAACAGAAGGTCACCAACAGGTCTTCAATGCAGCGAGAAATTCCCGCACCCGGAGGCGTCCTTCAGCTGGCCCCTAAACAAATATATATACTAGTTCAGTGATAATGAACGCCATACTAAACTCCAAATTGTACACAAGAAACTAAAACTAAAAATAATACAAGACTAACAAAGGCTAGAGGCTCCTGACTTGGGACAGGCGCAAAAATGCGGCGGGGTTAAACATGTTTATGAGATCTCAACCCTCCCCCTATACCTCTAGCCAATGTAGAAAAGTAAACGCATAACAATACGCACATTAAAATTCAGTTCAAGAGAAGTCCGAGTCTGATGTCAGAAGATGTAACCAAAGAAAATAAACAAAATGACAATAATACATAAATAACAACAGACTACTAGCAGTTAACTGACATGCCAGCTCCAGACTTCAATTAAACTGATTGAAAGATTATGTCTTCATCATATGAATATCAGGCACAATCCTTCCCGTTAGGGGTTTAGTATCATACCATCATAACATATATGAGAAGAACATAACCCTTGTCATGCCAACAAGTATATTTCAAGTGGTGGTAAAAGTTTCAACCAGATCTTTGAAGCCAGAAATAAGAAAATTACACTTGTTTGAATTTCTCACTGTACGATCAGTCTTTATTTCACTGTATTCTAGTGGTGATTTCAAAGTTATTTACGATACATTAGAAGGTGGCATTTTTCTAAATAACACAAATATATTTCAATAAATTCACATCCTGAAAACTAATGAAACATGTTTTAGCTTGATGGGGTGTACTCGACTTACTACATTAAGTATAAGGATATTTAAATGTTGCTAAAATAAGAGGAAGGTTTGTTGTATATATAAGTTTTAGAAATGTCCTCCGTTATACTTAAAATTGTACAAACACACAGATTTAATTGTTATATAAAAATGCATGTATTTACACACATTCGAGGCCGTACTGTAGCCTATAATTGATCACAGTTCCTTCACTTTGTTTTGGATGTAGAGCTGTCTCTTTGACACTCAATTGTACACCACTTTGTAAAGCGGGGGTTTATAGTGATAATGAAGTCCGTCTTTCCGTTGGACCGGTACAATATGTTTCGTCGGTTTTGTAAGTGCATCTCCTCATAAACCACTTAATATATATTGTGGGTTCCAGCCAGGAGAAAAGAGATTCCAAATATATGTTCCCATACAAATGCCGTCTACAAAAATCATCAGAAATATATTTGTATTGTCTGATGAAAGAAATTACACGTTATAGTTCCCTGGACAGTTCATAATATCACATAGACACGTATATACCTTCAAATTGCCGTTGTTTCTTTTTCAAAATCACGACTGGTCATACAGTCAAAAAATCTGAAATCGCTTCTAGAATACAGTCAGTTCTAGACTGATCGTACAGTAATTTATTTTGGGATCCTCAAGGAAAACATTTTTTTTTTTATGGGAAATACGAATATTCTGTTTAAATACGAAAAGAATATTGAAACAGTATATATTTAACTGTAAACTGATGCAAATATTTGCATTAAAAGATTATTCGCTTTGTACTACGAGAGCAAAATTGTCCATCGATTTCACTTTTTTCTATCAAGTTGGTGTGATGCACACGTATATTTTATATTCTTATGCATGTTTTTGTTACAGTTACTCATATTTATGATGCTATACATACCTTGCAGATGTTCAATGCACTTTATAGATATAGGAGTATACAAATGATGAGAAAAGTCACCGTAGGCAAAACCGTCCTGTTAGCCAGTTGGAAATCATCGCTTCGAAAATCGCGACTTCCAGATAGCGTACAGAATAGTATCTACACTGTGATAAAGGGCCCCAAAAATTACTAGTGTAAAACCATTCAAACGAGAAAACCAACGGTCTAATCTATATAAAAAACGAGAAACTATATGATTTACAGGCTCCTGACTAACCATCAGTTATCCTATCTTCAACAGCATCATAGTTGTCTCACCAACCAACAACAAGGCTTCAACAAGGTTCAAATGCTCCAAAAAGTACAAGGCCTACAACAAAGGCTAGACCAGCTTCAACTAGGGGTCGATAACTATGCACAACCTGTGCGACTACAACATCCAGCTGCAGCGCCGGTTTCCTTAACTCAACAGCGGATACAACAACAGGTTAGTGCGGTTGTTCATTAACAACTAAATTATCAAGAACCAAGGTTTCAACCGCCAAGTTCAGTACTAAGGACCCAACCACCTAATATGATTGGTCACCCAACATCAATGTTCCCGCCTCCTAGAGGTGGACCACCACAACAGGCACCAACAATTTTAATGCCTTACAACCAACAATACATACCTGGTTTAACGTACCCAAGTTTGTGTCAGCCTCACCTTTCAGTCTATCAGCCACAACCATTACACGTGCCTTATCAACAGTTGTCTATACCTGGCATACAGCAGCAACATCCACCATCAGGAGCACCTCAGCCACATTATAACCAACCTTCAGCAAGACCGAAGGAATATAATAGTGATAACTATGCGAGACAACGAAGAAGTGATCCTGGACATAAATATACAGGTGATTCTGACACGTCAGATGTTTCAGCAGACCGCCAGACAAGAAAAAAGCGAAGGTCAGAACCTGAGTACAACAGACCTTGAGAGGATCAACAGCGTGATTTCTCACCTATTAGGAGTGTAAGGAGTTCTCCGTTAGACCGTAGTCGTTATATTTCTAGAAGTTCCAGAGGGTCTAGTGACTCCCAATCAGAATCTGACACAGATGGGCGATGTTCTAAAAGCAGTCAGGAAAGTAGAAAAAAGGAGAAAATAGAGAAAAGACAATTTCTGTCCTCGATCCCTAGAACGCTCCGCTATAGTGGGAAGGGCAACTGGAAAGCATTTTATACCAAGTTTTCTGGTTATGCTAAAATTGCTGAGTGGACAGATGAACAAAAAGAGGGAACAGCTATGCTGGTGTTTAGATGATGCAGCAAGTGAGTACTACACCTTACTCCTAGAAAATAATAAAACAGCCAGTTTTACCGACATCATATCCAACATGAACAAAAGATTTGGTCATCAAGAACTGCCAGAAACCTCACAGGTTCTGTTCCAGACAAGTGCCCAAGGCAAAAAAGAGACCTTGGAGGAGTGGTCGGAAAGAGTGTTGTCTCTCGCCACTAGAGCCTATAGCAGGTATAGTGAACAACTGATGACTGAACAGGCAATCATGAGATTTTGCCAGGTTTGCAATGATACAGTTGCAGGAACAGAAGCCTGCATATCTAAACCTAAGTCCATGGACGCAGCCTTGGATATGATACGATGGTGTCAGCACACTAGAAAGGCAGTCAGTGCCATTCAAAAAACTGGCAAGCAAACAGATGAGTCTCTTTCAGAGAAGCCAGCTAACACACTAGTAGTTCTTGGTGTAGGAAGCTCCAAGTCCAGCATAGACAACCGTCTCTCAAGGATGGAGAAATATATGGAGAAAATGATATCAACAATAACCAGTTTGGTTCAGGAACAATCAGCCAAACGAGGAACCAG